TTTTTAAAAGTGAAAAATACTTTGTAATTGGATAGCATATTATTAATTACTAGATTCTATAAGAAAAATTACATGGTCATATTTCTGGTTGAATTAATAGATCTGATACGCAATTTCCCTGCATGTATCATCTATGGAAATCAAGATCTAAATATTTGGGCATATATAGTTGATATAATTTTCAGGAATGAACCGAGGTCAGGAGAGATGATTTGAACATAACATTGAAAGTTGAGTTGTACCTATATACGATAAGGCTCCATTAACCAACAGCAAATCCTACAGATTTGTCCCTGTAAATCTTTTGCAGGTTGAACATACACCTATAGTTTCAAATACTTCTAAATAAAAGTATGAATAAGTTACCTAGCTAAAATACATATACTATATTCTTTTAATGAGAAATCATTAGTAATGAAGCAATTAAATCTCCAAATAATTAATTTATCAAGAAATTTTCTTCCCTAAAAGAAATAGTATATTTACTACTGAAGTGCAAACCACACAAGCATTTGTGAATCTGTATTGTCATTTGCCTATAGAGCAAATGCTCCTATACTGTAATATCTTCCACTTCTTTTTTTTTTTTTTTAAATTTTTATTTAAGGAGAAAAGAAAAGAAAGAAAAACAAACAGTGAAGGGGTACAAGTTATACAGATTTACAGAATAAAAAAATGCGCAGTAGGAAATCACTAGTTAATGGATTACATATTGCCATCTTAGAAGTAATTGTTCAAGTCACAAAATTAAAGCTTGTAGAGTGGACATTCCAACAATGATACTGCAAACAGTTCTGTTCAATGATCCAATAAAACTCTGTGATATCATTTTCTATCTTATACATTTAAATATACATGCAGTTATATAGTTTAGAGCACTTTCTTTTCCTCTCTTTTGTACAGTGACTATTACACATTTTGGGTTTCATTGCTCCCACGGTTCTTGTTGCTTTTTTGGAAGAGAGTAAAACCAAATGTGACATAACAGAACAGAATCGGTCAAGTCAAAAGGGTGGACATAATAGATAATATAAAAACATAATACAAGGTGATCAACAATGGTTACCATAATGCCTCCCGCTATTTCTAATAGAATTGCCTATATCATTAGTTGTAATACAATTGAACAAAACCGTAAAGAATAAAACCGACAAAACCAAAACATTGGAGATATTGTAGGTCTTCAAAAGTAGATAAAAGTCAACGAGAATGGGCGTTATAATGAATCTCATTATCTTCTCAGCTGATGCCTAAACTTTCGAACCTGATACTATCCAGCAAAACAGAATATAGGAACCTCAGTCAAAAACAAGATGGTGAGAGTAATACAGGGCTTCAAATCGAGATAATAGAAAGTCAAAGTGGGTTACTATATTATATCCTGCTATATTTTTCCCTTTAATTAAATGGATAAAAAAATAAAAAAGTAAATAATGGAGTGGAGATTGAGAAAAAAGAGGGCATAACAGCGAAACAGGGCAGATCAAAACATAACCATTTAAGCAGAATAGTGTTTCACCACCAGCTAATCCTGACCCAAAAATAGTTACCATATTGACTCCCTCCCTGAAGTCCTTGAGTACAACTTCATATACTGTAGCATTAAGTATATCAAAACAATGTAAATCCATTTAAGAGAATGACAGCATTATAGAGTATTTAGAATCGACTAACAGAAAATGAACAATGGTCTCTGTATAATCTCCTTGTCTTTAAAAGGTTTTTTCTTATACTATCGTACATAGCAAAATCCAATAAGATACAACCTGTTTAGACCATTGGAGACAGAAGAACAAAAGCTAGATGAGACTTCAAAACAAGATGGTACTAAATCAGCATTACCTATTAAGATGTCATTTTCTCCAAAAAAAGCTGTTCCTATCATCCAATCTTCTCTGTCTCATTTCTGTTGAGCTCTTTTTCTGTCAGTAGCTGTCAGTTTGTCTTCTTCATTTTGTTCTCTGCTCCATTCGTTGTGGCCTCCCCTCCCCTATTTCTGGGTTCTTTGTATTTTTCTTTTTTTAGAATATCCTGCAATACTTTCTGTAGGGTTGAATTGGTGGTTGCAAATTCCCCCAGTTCCTCTTTATCTTGGAAGCACCTCGTTTTTCCATCAATTTCCAGGGACAGTTGTGCAGGATATCTCAATCTTGGCTGTAGATTATTATCTTTCAAAGCTTGAATTATTTCTCCCCATGCTCTTCGTGATTTGATGGTTTGTGAAGAGAAATCTGCTGTAATTCTGATGGGTCTTCCCTTGTAAGTGATCTGTTTCTTGTCTCTTACAGCTTTTAATATTCTGTTCTTGTATTGAATTTCTGGAATTTTTATTATTATATGCCTGGGTGTTTCTCTGTTAGGGTTGTAGGTAGCTGGGGTCCTGTATGCCTCATACATTTGAGTATCTTTACCTTTTGCTAAATTAGGAAAATTCTCCTGGATTATTTCTGTGAGTAGCTTTTGTAGTTCACTTGTTTGTGTCCCTACTTCTTCTTTTATGTTCTTAATCCTTAAGTTATGGCTCCTCTTATCATCTTCTTGTCTTTGTATTATTGCTGTGTGTTTCTTTGTTATTTTTAAGAAGTTTTTCATTTCATTCTCCCATGTTTCAAGTCTGCCCTCCAATTCAGATAGTCTGTCCTTAGTTTCTTTCAAGCTGTTATGCCAGTCTTGGGTAGACTTCTTGATTTCTTGATAGTCCCTTTGCACCTGCTTCACATACTCAATGCTTTCTCTGTTTTCTCCATCAAGCAATTCTCCCCTCTTTTTCTGTTCTTCCCTTCCACCATCTGCTTTTTCCTGGGTGGTGCTTAGCATTTCTCTAACTATTCTGCATACTTCTAGCTTCAGGTCATTGATAACTTCATTCCTGAATTGGTCTATGAGGCTCTCTAAATGGCGCTTAATGTATATTGGTGCAGTGTCCACTATTGCCTGATTCTCAGGATTGGGGGTCGAGGAGCCTTTTTTGTTGCTTCCCTTCCCCATTTTTCTGTTCCTTATAAAATGTAATCTTACACAGGTGGCCCGGCTTCCCTGCCTGTCAGCCACAGCTTGATCAAATTGTGCTGGTTAGTTGTTCCCGCTCACCGCTGCGCCCCAGGGAGTTGCGGAGGAGGCAGCCTACGCGGGAGTCGGTCGCTCCTCAGGGCCACCGTCAGGCTCTGGGATCTGGGTTAGGCCAGCCTAGGGAGTCCGCCAGCAGCGTCCCTCTGGCCAGGCACCTTTCACCAATCCCGTCCGAGAGGGAAACGTGCGGCTGCAGTTGCCACCGCGCCCTGCTCTTACAGGACTGCCCGCGCCCAGAAAAACCTCTGCTGGAGTCAAACTGCGGTAGGGAGTCAGTTCCTCGCTCACCTCGCCACCAGTCAGCCTTCCTCCCTGTCCGTCGCGTTTCCGACTTCGTTCGCAGACTCCTGTTCCCAAGCCTCTGCGTGTCTCTCCTTGCCGAGCCGCTGTGGAGGTAGCCAGCCGCTGGGCGGCGGGAAATCCAAACCGCGGTTTCCGATGGCGCAGGAACTCCGTTCCCAGACTCCCGTTCCCAGAGCTCGGCGGTCGCGTCTCTCCTTGCCGAGCCACTGTGGAGGCGCTGGCCGCCAGGCGGCGGGAAATCCAAACCGCGGTTTCCAATGGCGCGGAGTCGAGCCTCCACACCGAGATTTTTCTGTTCCTATTTTAGCGCCAGGACTGTATTCCAAGTTGGATTCTCTCAGCCCAGTTCGTTCCTGAGTCAGCAGAGCATATCTCTACTGGTTCGTATCTCCTTAGTCCGCATCATTCCTGGCCTCTGAGCCGAGCCTTTAGAGAGCGTTCAGTAGTTGCTGTTGTCTGTCCGCCATGTTCTCTCTATCCCCCAATATCTTCCACTTCTATAGAATAACACTACTGCAGGGTCTAACTTCCCTTCACAAAGTAAAAATATGAGCCAAGAATCTTAGTAAATTTATATTTCAATCTCCCTATTATATACTCTTTGCAGAATGTAATGAAGTACTTAGAGTATTTTAAATATCAGTTCATCATCAGTCAAAATTTTTACAGGCATAAAACTGCCAAGATTTTTTTTTTTTTGGTACTCTACTGAAAATTCTTTTCACATGAGTATTTTAGTTGGCATTATGGTAAACACTTTAAAGAGAACCATAAGCAGTAGAGACAGTGAGAATTCCCAGTAAGATATAAATTAACCATGTAGGGAATATGAGGATCATATAGATTGATTTTCCATCTGACTAAATTTGCATTTTGAAGTAGTAAAATTAAATGTGCATAAATTGCACTTCAACAGTTGCATAATGTCCCTGGTACTGAATACCAGAATTTGCAAATTAGATTTTATTATGCATTCTGGTTGTTTTTTCTCATGGGAACATATTTTAAATTTAATAAAAATCAGTAGGAAATGTTCACATATATAGTATAGTGAGCATTTTGCAAACATTTCTGTTGCATAAGTTAGTAACAATCTGAAATATAGTATACACTAATAAGTAGTAACTGTCTACTTTCAAACATTATATAAGATGTTTCACAATACCTACAATAGCTATAGTTTTAGATCATAATTGGTGTGGTATAAGAAGTTTTTGTATATTTTACTTACATTTAAAAGGAACCCAATTTTCAATAACAATTGATTTCTATCTTTAGGGAAACTATGCAATTAGAGTCACTAAATTTGGAATTAACATGTAAGTTTTGGAAAATTGGCACTATCAATCATTCTAACTCTGGGACAAATATCTATAAGAATGAATTTATTGTCTTGTAAAAAGTTGATACTTTCTAATGTCCATTACTGATGCCAAATTTCTGACTTGAATTATGGTATATTGAATTTATAACAAATGTCATTGCTTAGGTTGAATCATTAAATTTAATTTATGTTAATTTATTCATTATCAAAATATAGAGGTTATATTTATGACACTATTTGTCAGGTTTTCCCACAGAAGAAAATAGGCACATGGCCTGAATATACATGATGCTCCAATATTTACCCAGAACTGATGGTGTACAAGTTCCTCCATTCTGACAGTAGTTGCTACAGTGGTTGACTTCACATCGTTCTCCTGAATAACTAGGCCAGCAGTGACACCTCACATCACCCTTCTCATTCAAAATGCACCGCCCTCCATTTTCACAAGTCAGTTTGCAAGAATCGTCTGGTTTTAAGAGAAAATATACAGGTTAGCATATCATTCAGGGGATAATTTAATAAAGATGAAAAAATGTATTTAAAAACAATTTTTCATAAAATAATTACTAACGTATATAATTGAATATAATTTAATAATAGCTGAATACAGGGCAATAAATTCTCATCTATTGACACCACTGAATAGTGACTATAAATATTGGATTAATTTTTCTTTAACATGTTGTTGTATATCTCAATAAGTAATAAAATCAAATTTCTGAGAGCAATATACTTTCCAAGCAAGAATTTTTCTTTATGATATGAATTAATAGTACCTATTCTTCAGTAGTTGATGTTAAATCAAAATGAAATATATACTACATTTATATTTATCTACACATATTAGTATATCATATATTCTTATACACGTATATAATTGCTTATGTTGTAAAAAATAGTTATATCCTATGACAAAGAACCTATGCTGTGTATATTAGTATGGAGAAATGTTCAAATGATGAGATTTTCTTTGATGGCAATACATATTAACCTTGCATAAATATATTAAATCATTTAAATTTGGTAAAAGATGATAAAAAAAACATTAAAAACATTTCTGTAGGTAAAACTCATTCTACATATTTAGACTCAATTTGTCTACTTAATATCATTTTGACTGAGAACAAGAAATGCTCATTTTTGTAGTCAGCAAAGCTATCTTTAACAATATAGTTAGTATGCTTTATTATAAAATTGGTTTAGAACCATCGTGCAAATTTATGCTACTATGTATTGAAGTGGCCTTTTTCACTAGAAAATTTTTGTTACTTTGGGTAGAATAAATGGAACAAACATAATTGACAATATTTTGAAAGCATTCTAGAATATAACTCTAGTAAATTTATGTGTATCACGTAGTAAATTTAGGTAAGATCAATACAACTTATATTCCATATTCAACATACGTTGATTCATGCATGGCAGATACTTGAAAGTATTACTGCAGTGATCATTAGAATATCTTTTTCAACCTCAGAAACTTATTTGGTATATAATTAAACTTTAGATTGTTATTGTTAAACTTTGTGTTTCTAGTACGAAGTACCCATTTATGGGGTAACATACATAAGATAAAATGATGTTATAAAAAAAGCCCGACTAAACCCTCTGCCTCTTACTATTCAAACAAGTTAATTTACTTGCATTTCAGTTACTTCACAGGTAAATGACCTTTGTGGAAAAAAAAATACAGTTTGAGCGATTTCTTCGTTAAAAAACAAAGTTTTAAAATAAAATTCTGAAACGTTGAAAATATTAAGGACCTAAGTATAGATCATCCATACCTACACAGAAATGCAAATTTTACTTCCAGCTTATATTTTTCATATCTAAAGTAGTAACTGAGATTTGGACCTATGAGATGTGTGGCTAAAATTCAATAGTCACTTAAAGCAATTATTTGGTAAATAATCAAGTAACATTATTTTTCAGTGTTATTTTCTCATGTCTTCAGGTACACTGAGGATACAATTCAGATAAAATGGCATCTATTCATGTCATAAAATGAGACCGGGGAGGACTACATGAATGTCATAGTTCCAGGATATGGAATAGAGTGAGAAGGAAGGAACCGGAAGAGGTGTATATCTTTGATGAGACAGTGGAAAATAAGAAAAATAACTGGATTTTTTAGTTTTCTCCAGAGGTAATGTAAAGACAGTCAAGAGCCAGAGAACGTTGAGAATCAATGGAGTGACAGGTGTTCAACTGACAGTAGTGCAACAATTAGAACTTTTTAAAACTATCCAGGCTGGCAGATAATCACCTAAAATACAGTAATGGGGTATGAACTAATGTGGAAATATTCTAACAGTTACTAGTGAAGTCAAACTGCAGATCACAGGGACAGGGATGCAGCTCAGAGGCGTAAGTGCCTACCTGGTAAGCGTAAGGTAAAGTTTGAGCACAGGTACAAAAACAAAACAATAACAAAAATGAGAACATTGATGTATGAAGACAGTTTGTGAAATAAGGGCAATTGTTTCCACAATAAACTAACTATAGGGTATGTTTGTCAAGAATTATCACACCAGATATATGTTTAGTTAAAATTTGCCAAATTTTTCTTTCTTTGTCTTTCTTTCTTTCTTTCTTTCTTTCTTTCTTTCTTTTTCTTTCTTTCTTTCTTTCTTTCTTTCTTTCTTTCTTTCTTTCTTTCTTTCTTTCTTACTTACTTTCTTTCTTTCTTTCTGTGGTACCAGGGATTGAACTTGTAACCTCATGCTTTCTGGGAAAGTGCTTATGCCACTGATCTAAAACCCCAGCAATATTTCTAGTTTATTCAGCAAAATATATTCATAATATGAAATTAAAGATAAACGCTGTACTATCATCCTGAAGATTGGATATCCAAAATACTTAGATGTTGACTCAAGTGTTCTTCTATAATGTACTTCATCAAGCACAAAAATTTTAAAAATATAACACTGTCTAATGAAATGGAGTTGAATTACATTCTTTCACAACTTAGAGTTATAGTTCTATAATGAAAAAAGGGGTGTGCTTTTTGAAAGTAACTAAATCATCCCCAGATACCAAGCTCTAGTAATTGCAAATAGTGGAAAAAGAAGGTGAACATTCTCCAAGAATGAGTAGTATTTGTTTTTCAAATTTCTTATATGAAAATTAAAAATACTGAGTGTGCTCATTTTTAACAATAGTAGCTAGAGAAAATAATTAGACAGTTGAAATTTTGATTATATCAAACCTCTTCAGAAAAAATTAACTGACATTTGTCTATACTAACCAATTCTTCCTAAAATACATACACTTATGTTTCTGACTACAGTAGTTCAAACTGTCTATTACTAATGTCTGTATGAATATAGACTAATTTGAATATTTGTGTAGGCATGCTGCATTGTGGGTATCAGCGAAGGCATTGGGTAGGATGTGGGTGGCATACAGAAGTAGAAATGTTTGTACAACAAAGGAGTTCTTCATAATTTTGAGAAGGATATATAAATATTCCTGCATAGAGTGTCTCCATGATCTAACCAGATCAATGAGTGACAATATTTGAAAACAGGCATTCAATGTTATCTCTGTCTGTCTATCTGTCTGTCTTTCTGAGACACAGACCGTCTGTAGATCAGGCTGGCTTTGGACTCACTTTGTAGCCCAGGTTTGAATTCATGACAATCCTCCTCCCTCAGCTTCCCAAGTGTGGGTGATGACAGGCATGCACCACCACATCAGGCCTCCTAATCTATCACAGCTGAAAGCCCAGTTCCTGGAGTTGGTGGGGAATTAGAAAATAAAAGGGAGAACTAAATGACAGTGACAGCACGACTGCTTACAAGTCTCAACTCTTTCACCTCTGCAGTTTTATCCATAAATATCAATCATTGTTCTTTATTTCATTTGTCAGTTCATCTTTTTGTCATAGCTTTGCGTATTTAATGGCTCCAAAAATATTAAATGGTGAAGCTATGATAGTTTTTTAGACACAAACTTTCTTGGGAAAGGCTAAAAATCCTTAAGGTGCATATAAGATTCAACAGAGAACGAGGAGAGAACTGCTTAGAGGGGCAGCCTGACAAAAGACAAAGACAGGAGTTGCTCCAAGGAAAATGCAACTGGTAAGAACCCTGCTCTAAAGAGAACTAAGCTCGTAGCTCATTGGAAAATGTCTGCTGTGTTCCTTAAGTATTTTTGGAACATACAAGGTTTTGTTTATGCAGTGAAATTGAGTAAGTATTGATTTTTATTTTAGCTTATAGCTCTTCCAACTATAACTAATACTTTGAATATGAAAAAAATCTTCTTGTAAGTATAGCTGGATTTTCAAGAAATTTCTCTTCTCATACTATTTTAATTTTACTTGTAACATTCTGCTACTTAATTCTTAATTATTTTATTGTTTATTGTAAGCACTGACTCCTAAAATAAAACTACATGTAATAGTCTTTCAGTTTCATTTCTAAATTAGTCTTTCAGTTTGAAATTAATGTTAGGTCTTCCTTATAATCCTCATAATTGTTCTCTTTCTTAGAAATATCTATTGTAAATATAATCTAAATAAAGAATTTGAATATAACTTATCAACTATTTTTTTGTTTCTACAGTAGTGTTTGACAAACAGAAAACGTTCAAAATAAATTTATTCAATAAATAGACAGATATGAGTATTGGATTTATACTCACAGCACAATGAGGAATACTAAAATATGATCATCTTTTCTGGTACAACTGTAAAATATATTTATGCTGAGTAACTTCTAAATTTTCAATCTACTAAGTGCATGTTAAGTCTAATGCTGCTTTATAAACCAAAAAATAACTAATAGAAATGAATTCTACAGAAGATAGCTTACAGAGGCACTCAGGAATCACTGATAGCAGGGTAATTAAACTGATCATGGAGCAGGTAAGTCTGTACAGTTTCAAATAGTTGTGAGAATTTATCATAGTGATTAATTTACTATTAGTAGAATAATAGAGAATACCTACCTAAAACATTCTCATCACTACAGCTTCCATTAGTCAAATATTTTCCCTCTGGGCACACACAAGTGGCCCCAAAAGGATTAAGCAAGCAGAGAAATTCACAGGCTAAATCCAAGCAAGGATTAGGTACTGATGAAAATGAAACAAAAGAAAACAAAGAAATGTATAAGTATAGTTACAATAAGTTTCAACGTAAAATGCAATATGCAAAAAGATGAATTAGCAATGTTGAAGACAAATTACATTTATCTTTATCTTTATAGAATGTATTTAATTTCAATGCTATAATTGTCTTTTTTTTGGTCTTTTTCCTTTTTATTGGTACTGGGGATCGAACTCATGACTGCCTGCTTGCAAGGCAGGCACCTATGCCACTGAGCTAAATCCCAAGTGAAGCAAAAATGCTACCATGTATCCATCATTAATAAGAAAGATTTCCTAATTATGCTTTCAAAAAGAGAGCAAATATTTTTCAAATACACATTTTGTCACACTTCTTTGACTAATTAGTTTTTTAAAAAAAAAAATAGCCGTTAGAACCTGATATCAAATGTAATACTGTAGTTACCGGGAAATCAACGCATGTCTTCGAGAATCTTACTTTTAGTTTAGATATTCAGAGGGCTATTTAAAAAATAGCTTTCCTGTTGTATTTGCAAAGGTTTAAAATCCATATATGTTTGTCAGTTCATAACACAAAAAATGACCTTTAAAGTGTTTTTGACTGTGTTCCTTTCCATCTGGAATGAGTATGTATCAACATAAATGGCTGATAAATATACATATACATATACATACACATACACATATTCAAACTTCTGTACAACTAATGTCATTTTTAGCCAGAAATGACTAATAAAGGTCCCAAAGAATTATTTTATTTGTGCAATATAGGAATGCTATCTAGTTAGCTAAATTGGTGACTAGAAAGGAGATTTTCTACAAAAATCATTGCTTGAATGTCTTCTACAGTCAGGCTGAAGGTGAATTTACTTATTTTCATTTATCATGAATCTGACAAAATTTGACTATGCTTAGTTAGACAAATCTAAAAGATGAGATGGGAACCGCACATTACAGGTTATTGGTAAAAAGCTGAAAGACTTTTAAGAAAATTTTAAGAAAAAATTATATATATATATATATATATATATACGTATCTATATATAAACATATTCTGTTTTAATATGTTTTCAAAATGTATTTGGATAAATATCAGTTGTTAACTTTCCATATGAATTTACATAAAGTACATGGTAAAAATCCTTTTGCATCTTACATTTATAAATAATTATTTCTTGAAAGATGAAATGATATTTAATGACAATTTGAGTGTTCGCTATGATTTATGTTTTGTTTTCTGCTTCAATGTGGCTTCATGCTTTTATTTTTGTTTTTGCTTTGAGGTGCTAGGTATTCAAATCAGAACCTCAAGCATATCAGGGAAGCACTTTACCATGATGTACCATCCTCAGCTGTTCAATGTGATTGAAATATATTTTCCAATTATTTTTGCTGATATATAGTTTTCACCTATTTGTTTCAAGGAGGGAGAGGAATAATAACAAATCAAAGGAAATACAACTTTTGTTAAGAGTTCTCATGAAAAATTTTAAGACTGAATTGTTAATGCTACACTATTTATCTAGTTATTAGTAACACTAGTCAAAATTTCATACTTCACCTACAACTTCACAAGATTTTACCAATAATTTTACAAAAGCAGAATAATAGATAATTTTGGTCCAAAGTCAATTGTAATTCCAAGAAAACAAAATTTACATAACAATTACATCAGAAATGAAAATTTGTATTATTGGAATGTTGTTTTTGGTAATATGAAAAGTTTGGTGAAACCATAATGACCCTTATCTACCTTATGTGTATTAAGACAGATAAATACTTAAGCTATAGGAAAATTATATACATTTAAGAATTGTACAGTCATTTACCAAAATAGAGAATCTTATAAAATGCTATACTTACAGTCTAGTTGTTTATAGCGATGAGATATTAAAACACCTTTTGTTTTATCAACATGCAAAGCTAGGTATTGTACTGAACCATGGCCAAATTTTTGTACTCGAAATACACCATTTTTTGGTCCTGCTCCATATATATAATCTTCAAAGATATCAATCCTATGCGGGTGCAACAAACCTGGAATTTTTTTAAAAAGGGGCCAAAAAAGTAATACATGTTCTCAGACTTAAAGAAGCAAAGTTTATCCAAGATCATATAGAAAGTCTAATAACTTTTTAAAATTCAGTATTGGAATGTGTTAAAGCATTAACTGTGAAGTTTTTAGAATTCATCTATTGGCAGTGGGTTGTTAGAAATATTTAACGTTCTTCAGAACACAAAAATCAATATCATAAGCAATTTGATGATCACGTTTGTCATCAGCTACCATTTGCTAGGATCTATTAGGTGCAGAATAACTTTCTCTACTACACAGCTAATAAAAAATACCCTAAATACAGAATAAATTCATTTGCAGTACAACTCAGTTCATATATGTTTTCTAGATCAAATTAATAATCAAATTACATAACAAGCTATCATAAACCCAAAATTAAGAAAAATAACTTTAACAGTATGATCATCACTTTTAGAAGTGGAAAAAAAAATAAATAAGGAAGCATTGATTTCTACAATATCATCAAAAACAAGCAATTCTTAGGAACTAACGTAACCAAGGAAATGAAACAATTCCACAAGGCAAACTCCACATCTAAAAGGATAGATTTAAAGCAATCCCAATCAATATACCAATAGCATTTCTTACAGAAAGGGAGAAAACAATCTCAAAAATAATATGGAATGACAAGAGACCTAGAATAACAAAAGTATTTCTGGACACCAAGTAAAGGCAAAGTTCATCACAATTTTGGACCTCAAATTATGCCCCAAAGCTGCAGTGATTAAAATCAGCATGGTATTATGAGAAAAAAATACTGATATATAGAACACAATGGAAGATGCAAAAACAAGTCCAGGGACATTCAGTTATGGAATCTTCAACAAAAAGATCAAATTCCTTTGCTGGAGAAAAGGTAAGTTCTGTAACAAATGGTGCTGGGAGAATGATTTACCTATGTGTTGAAGGTTGAATATAGACTCATTTCTCATCAAAAACTTAACTAAAAGCAGTATTAGTCAAAGATGTCTACAATACAAGGACATAGACAATATGCTGGAAGACAAAATAGGTAACACTCTCAATAGGTGTCAGCAAATTTGTGCTTAATAAAGCTCCATTTATGTAAGAGTAATAACACAAATCAGCAAGTGGGACGAAATTAAGTTAAAACCACTTGCACATCAGATGTAGTTACCAAAAAAGTGAAGAGACAACCAGAATAGAAAAAAGAAAATGTTGCCAGCTACTTCTCAGAGTAAGGACAAGCATCTATGATATTAAAAAAAAAATAAAATAAAATAAAGATCCAACAACTCAGTCCAAAAGTGACCATCTTAAATGAGCAGACATTTCTCAGATGAAATAAAGAAATAAAATCATTAAATAAATTCATGGAAACATATTCAACAGTATTGACCAATCTAGCATATTAAAACAGCTCCATCTCACCATCAAGAAATCAATCTATAACAAATGTTGGTGAAGCTGTAGGGAAAAAAATGCGCCCTTCTCCCTTGTCGGTGGGTGTGTAAACTGATAACAAACATGAGGAAAATCAGGATGGAAATTCCTCAAAAAACTGAAAATAGAAATTCCATTTGACCCAACTTTTCCCTTTTTACTTATCTTCCAAATGAGATAAAAACATCATATCCCAGTGATAGATACATATCAATGTTTGTAGAAGCATAGTTAATAATAGCTAAATATTGGAAACAACCTATATGTTCAGCAAGAGATGAGTGGATAAAGAAAATGGTTTACATACACAATGCGTAATATTATGCTGCAAAAAGCTAACCTTGACACATCTCTAGGAAAAAGTATGTACCTGGGAGCATAATATTAAATGAATCAAATGCACAAAATGGACATGGTATTTTTTTTAATCTGAAAAAAGTTAATATATAAATAAGTATGAAATAAAAGACAGATAATAGAAAAAAAAGAGAGAAAAGTTTTTGAATTGTTTCCACTGCCGGTTTCTAGTTTCACTCCAGAACAGTTGGAGAGTTCTCATTTTACATCACTTTCTTCTCTTTGGATGTATTAAGGTCTTTGATGTTGATATATGCATGTTCTATTTTGAATAAAAATAAACAAAATTACAGAATAGTAACAAAAATCTATGAAGATAAACAGTAGCTCAGTGGTTGCCTAATTTAGAGGAGAAGGATTGGAAGGTGATGATAGAGATTTTTTTTTTTTTTTTTTTTGCGGGGGAGGATAATAAAATTTTTCTAAATTTGTGTGCTCATGATTGTACAACTCTTTCAATATACTAACGTCCATGGAATCACACACTTAAAGTTTGTAAATTATGTAATACTTTCATTTAGTTCAATAAAGCTGTTATTTATTACAACTAATGTGATGCAGCAAACAAGATGAAACAAAATGACAGCTGGCAATCCTTCACATGAAGACATGGATCAAAAATAAAAATGACCATAAATTTTCATATTTGATGTCCATGTTTTAAAACATTTAATCAAAGGAATGTGCAATGTAACTATGTAACTGAAACATGTAAAAGACAAGATGATGATATTTATATCTTGTAATGATCCAGTGGGGTTAAATCACAAAATTACTTTTCTTCATTGTTTCTGAAATAATAGTAACATGTGTATTTAAACTTAGGCAAGTGAAGTTCACTATAAATAATTACAGGGATCTATAAAACAAATACTAGAGGATAGGAAAAAATCAAATAAGCAATAATACAGTTTAATGTTTTCAGTACGCCACTGTCACAAATATACAGACTAATTTGGCAGAAAATCAACAATGAAATATTAGTACTGAACCAAAAAATTGAACAGAGGGCCTTAGTAGATATTTACATGTCCCACTTCAGAACATCACCATATACATTCTTCTCAGGAAGGTAGACATTTTTTTTCCTATCTGGGTCATAGATTCAAAAATTATACATGGCACACAAAGGCAAAATGAAAACTTGATTTAACTATTTTCAAATTCTCTGTTCTTCTTTAAAAACAGGAAGCAAAGCCATATTCATTAAATATAATATTATGATTATAAAATCTTTGGTTTTATATTATGAACAATTAAGATTGGAAGGGGGAAGGAAATAAAAGACAAAAGGAAGAAATAAAACTGAACAGTAGAAGCTGATAATCTAGAAAGCCTCCCAGAGGTACAAAAGGGAGTTAGAAGAGTAAAAAACAGGAAGCAGACAGAAAAGCAGCAATAAAAATGGATTTAACAAATAATGAGCACAATGAGATTAATGGTCACTAGTAATAGAGGTAAACTCTCATCTTTTCATACTGACTTTTCATGTCCGTCAGGCTATCTTTCAACACCAATAAGTATTATTTGGAAGTTTACTACATACAGTATTTCCTTTCCTTTTTGAATCTCTGCTGTTGAAAATGAAAACTGACATTGTTATATTGTTCTTGAGTATTTAATATGCCTGCTCAAAATGGTATAACCAGAGACATAGCAGAATGAATTTTATTTCTCAACCTTAGCAAATATGGCTCACAACTGAGTCAAGAAGGTTTTTTGTAATAGTGTTTTTGCTATTCTAATAAGAGTAAAACTTTTAATTAATTAAGAGCTGTAAGTTGAAAGGCAAGTTTAAGGAAATACACAACTCACAGTTTTCACACTTATATATACATCTTATGAATTAATACTAACAATAGCTAAAAGTAAAACCAAATACTGCACGAACCTTGTTTGCTGCTGACAGAGACTATTGAATTGGAGCCATCATAAAGAACACTTCCAATAATGGACAGCTCAACATCAGCCCAGTATATGCGCTCAGTAAGATGATCCACAGCCAGACCTGCAAAACAGACCGAAGGGAATTTGAGTTTGGTTAAATCTATGTGTTTGATTTTGATATGCTTAATGTTTTCATCAAAAATCAGAGATTTTGCTCATTGTATATCATGATTCTTTAGAAATTAGAAAGAAGACTGCCTAACACTTATCTTAAATACATGTGTTCAGATTATATAGTGTTTATTTTACACACTGAGTAAAAATCCTACGTCACAGAAGAAAAACAACATTTCTCCTTCTTGTGCTTATTGGTCTCTTAATTACAGAGTCCTTACATGGTGTTTCAATTTTTATATTTACAGCATACTCAGGAGGAATGATTCAAATCATTATCAAAAATTGTTTAAATTGATTTGGTGTGGTTGGTTACCTTTGGAATGCCTTCATGAATATATATTTCTCAGAACATAGACTCATGAATTAAAATATAAGATGAAGGTATTTGGAATTACTCTACAGTGTCACCTGTCTACAGGCTAAAGTTTAAAGATTGGTGTGTATGATAGGAAAGAATGAATAGCAAAGTCCTTAATTAAGGTTTCAGTTTTTAATTCCAATAAATAGTTTGCTTGCAGACTCCATGTCTTCCTTTTCTTTATAGCTATCTACCAGTGGAATCACAGTAGGCTAAAACAATACATTAAAATGGTTTTATATTTTTAATTTGTTTGATTTTGAAAATATGATTGGAGCCTAGCTAGTATCTTCTTACAAACATAACATCAACAGAAAAAGACTACAACATTATGATTATCTCAGAAAATAGTTTCTTTGCTTTAGAAGAACCAGATCTATGATATGAACTGTACAATCCATCTTCAGTGCTATCAATATTTAATTTGTAATATAGTTAATCATTAGATATGGCATATTACATACTTTTGAACCAAAATGCAATTAAGTATGTTTAGCAGATGAATGTTACATAGCTGCCCAATTAGAGAATTCAATAAACAACGGGAGTACAGCTGTGTCAAAGTAATAGAATGAATGATATTTTGAGTTTGTTCTAAACTTGTATTCCTGTGCAGATGGACTAAGACTAAAGATGACAAATGAGAAAAAGTAATCTGTGAGTAATTCCCTAGTTCATTATGTAGATGCGGAGCAAATGCAATCATATTAAATATAAATATTGCCCCTCAATATTTAGAGTAAAATGTAGAGATGTACACTGCCCAACCAGCATCTGAGATATGATTAAACAATTAAAGCAAGAATTTCATGCTTTACTAGTTCTTGCTAAATGATTAATTGGCTATTCAGAGTCATGTTTGGAGATATTTTGCTTCTTCATGTATAATTATGAGTAACGTGAAACTTAAAATGATGTAGTTTCCTGTGGTTGTCATTATACTTCAAAGAAGTTATCTAATAAAGATTGAAAACACTTTTCTCTCTCCTCTATAATGTATGCAATAAAGAAGTACATAAAAAACCGCTGCCCAACAAGATTTATTTTCCATGAAAAATATATTTGCTAATCATGGAAGAGAAGAAAATAAGTATGTGAATCAATTTAATGAAAAATATCATTTTTCATAATCATCAGCATCAGAGACTTCTAAAGTGTTTTAAATTGTACTGTGAGGCTTTGCTTGCCTATAATAGACTTATCCTTGTTACATTATTGGTTATCTGATGTAATAATATATAGATAGAATTTATAAAATGAAACTTTCAAATGATTGAGGTTTATATTACAAATATCCAAAATCAATAATTTTGATTTTTTAAGATTGTTAATAAAAGAGATAGTCTTTTAAATTAAAAAGTTAATAATCAGCTGTTTCCTGTGGTAGTGATAGAAGCTGAGTTTATACAAAAGAACAAGCTCATGCTTATTGTTAAAATATCACAACTTCTTTCTCATTTAAAAAAAGCCAATAATAAATTTTTGAATAATCAACTCTTAGGATGATCTTATCTGAACTGGCAATGATAATATTTGGAAACAAGTCAAGAGAAGGACAGAAATATAAAGTAAAATGATATACTCATTTTATCCAACACAATGGAGTCACAATTTGAAAGTTATACAAAATAATTACCCAATCTCATTATACTACACATGACAATCATTTATTATGTAGTCATTGTCTTAATACTATGACAGGACTAGTATTACATTTTACACACATTTTGATTCTCGTTGAAGTATGATACTTTCGAGGTATCCCAAATTATTTCTCTATTCCCATTATAATCTCATTGCTAGGAAAATAGATCCATGTTGAGACCATCGTTTTAAATGAAATATATCTGACACAAAAGGATAAATGTACGAGAAACATTAAATATAAATAATAAGTAAAATAGATATATTGTAGAAAATAAGAACACATATTTTGCAGAAGGGAAGGTAGTTAAAAGATGGAGAGGAATGGCGAGGAGGAGGGGTTAAAGAAATCACTAAGATGGATTATGCACATGTATAAACTTCTCATGAGGCATATGTACCAAAAACCTGCAATAATAAATTAAATTATAAAAACTTGAAAAGGAAATAGAAAAAATTTGTATAAGAAATGACAATATTCCCAACATATTAAAGAGAAGATTTAGAAATAATAACAAATTTAAATTACTGTGTTTTCTGAAATAGAGAAAAATATTCCATATATTTTGTTGTAAGCAAAGCTGAGATTTGTGAAAGAACCAATCAGCAAGTGTGCACAAGCATTTTCCTGACTTAAAAGGTACACAGAAGGGGTGAAACAATTGAAAATATTTAACACTATGTCAAATTTATTTTTCAAAACTTGTAGACTTTTTTGAGGTAGCTTTTCTAGTCAGATTCCAAATTATATTAAAGTTATTTTTTATAGACAGAGACATTTTTATCGATACACATTTATGCCTCAGAAAAACAAATGCGTCAAATATAGCAAGACAGTCCTGAAATTTACATTCCTTTCTCTTCTTTAGATGCATTTTGCTAACCAAAGCCAAATAATTTTCTTAACATATCTAGTAACTATGACTGATCTAAGGCCAGTGTATAGTTCCTATTCTCCCCAAGTGCTGCAGTCTTAGAGAGTTAAGAGGCAAAATAACCTAGCCATATCAGAACAGATGCTTAAAAACAGTCAGTGGTTATGGTATTGAAGTCAGCTTCAGCTCTCACTACATTTTCATGCTAAAAGGAAAACTGGAAAGTGTGTTTCTATGACTTATTGAATCACCATGCATTCATGGAACCTTCCTCTGTACCACACACTGCCCGCTACTAGGCACAGAGCTATATACAGGCAAAGCAGCCCGTTCTACAGTGCACGGTGCTCAACTACCACACACTAGAATGAAAAGTACTTATTGCACTTCTATGTTTATTATAAAGCCCTATTTAAATAAAGCAAACAAACAAGTATGCCATTTATTACAGGAGGCCTTAAACTATGCAACTGATTAAAGTGTTGGAAGTTATAAGCAACCATGTATTCATTCAAATAGTTTTTAAGGACACATTAGCTACCAACAGTATAATGTGCAATACAGGTTTTAACAGGAATATTAATAATGAGTTCCATTTTTCAGTTTAAAATATGTACGGTCTTGAGCACATAGAATATAGTTAATGAATATTGCATCATAAAAGTAGTAAATGATGGAGCACTAAGCATAGAGAGAATGGGTTTGAAAACCTCCAGGGAACTAGGTAATCTTCAATCTGTGTATGTTTGAAGCACTGGTGCCAGTGGTAGACTATTTTAGTAGATAGTGTAATTCTAACTCTGGATGCATAAGCATTGCTGGAAGAGACAGAGATAAGTCTTATCTATTCCTGTTGGTCGCTCGCCTGTGCTGACACTCTTGGCACTGTGAACATATGCACCTATAGATTAATAAAGAAAAGATAGCATTTTTTATAAAACTACAACACAAACCACATTTCATATTTGAAGATAAATAGAAGAATAACTGGAGTTACTGATTTCGACATGATACGTTAAATTCAGACCGCTATTTATATTCACGAAGAAAAAAACACAGAAATTGATGAAACATTACCAGAGGGAAGATTTAAGCAGTGCGAATATTTCTATGTAAAGACATCCCATAGAGGGTATTTGTGTGAATGTACTTTCCTCTGCACTTATCCAGTGGAGGTATGCATTCAAATACAGAATATTGATTTAGTTATGGTCAATATTTAAATTATCCTTTTCTTGTAATATGCTGCTTATGAAAATAAAATTATGGATTATTTTCTAAAATTCCCGAAGATCTATTTTGCTCATATATGCAGCAGTAATATTTGGCTTTAAATGTATCTAGGAGTTACTAGCTACTATATAGAAAACATCAAGAGAGATTTTTGTTCAATATAAGAAATTGCTGTCTAAATCTGTGATGCCACATGACTTGTAATCTCAGCACACAGGCAAGCTGAGGCAGGAGGTAAGATTTTTAGAATCTTCACAGGATCCTGTCTCAAAATATTTTTTAAAAAGTCTGGAGGTATAGTCCTGTGAAGTCTCTGGGTCAAAACAAAACAAAACAAAATATTTCCTGCTGTGCCATAAATACACAAAAAACAAAATTATTCTAACAAACAATAACTTTGTACACACTGACTTCTGGAAAAGGAAGCCAGGTCCTTGCTAGACAAATGCAATACTGCTGAGCTACGTCTCTAGCCCTATATATGATTTTGAAGAAAAGGCTTGCTTAGTAGTGTAGCAGGCCCTGAACCTTCCATCTTCCTGCTTTAGTTTCTCAAGGGGTGAGGTAACAGGCACTTAATACCTCCGAGAGTCCTAGCCTCTTAATTTCTATGGAAATTTTTGAACTGCTTTATGCAGGCCACTTTATACACTGCACCTTACAAATATGTGCATATATTGTGTTGATAAAATATTTAAATTTTAATGCCATATATATCAAACAAGTAATTATGAGATAAATTAATAGATTTTTACATTTGACTTTGCATTTTTCTTAAAATGAATTATAATTGATATATGATGAGAAAATGAATCAAACTAACAAAATGTACTAAACAAAATGTTGAAATGTTGTCAGAAATACCAGTGTTAGGAAATTGTGACAAACAATAGATGAGATAGTTATTCAGTGTTTTACTAGGACACATGACATGTTATTTTTATAATTATTATTAACCTTAACCTGCTTAACAAAATTCATATTGATTTTAACAACTTATTTAAATGAGTCATTAAAATTATGTGTTGTATGGCAAAAGATGGCATATTAATTTCTCAAATAATAAAGTTGATCTTCAAAAGTATACTCAGGTTTCACACTTTAAATTTGAGCCTGCATAGATGGCAGTCTTATATTCTTCCTGCCCCATGTGTCCTCTAGAAGAGGCCCTGAGCTATCTATGCCCAGTAACGCAGAGCATCTAACTTAGAAAATTCTCCTTTTGGCTATGGTAGTAACAAATTTCTAATGTACTATTGTTTACATAACTTAAAGTCTACATGATTTTTCTCTTGACTTTTCAAAAAATAATCATCTCACAAAATTGTACACTTTTAATCTTATTTTCTCATTTCTTATCCATCTTAACAATTCTTGTAACTACATAGAGGGTCTGCTTTGGCTGTTAATTCTGATGAACACTAGTAAATGACATACAGCGAACACCCAATATTTTTAACAGAAGAAGGGAGGAAAATAGGAAATATTTGAGTGTTTTTAAAATATTGATTTCTTATCCCTCTAGGATACACTTTTCCTGTCTCTTCTGTCTTCATATACACTCTGAAATTCCACTACAGCAATCCCATTTTGCTTCACGTGTACATCTTCCCAGTCTGTCTCCCTGACACTCTTCTAGCCGTACTATTCTCAGTTGTAATTAAGAGCTGTTAATGGTAATTACCTAGTTTTCATCTCTTTGCCTACTCGTTACACTAAACTAGTGCTGCCAAAGGAATATGCCTGAAGATATATCTTATTCAAATTAGCAGTTATGTCAAAACTGTACTCTGATTCATTACTAACTAACAAATCTATTTATATTGGCATTGAAAAGTTTCTATTTTGAACTCATTTTACCTTACACAACTTATCCCTCCCTATGTAAACATTCAGCACAACAGCAAATGAAACTCCTGGCTAAGAGCACTGTCATATCTTATAAACACAACATTATTTTATGTGGTTTGTTATTGTTTTGCTGCTTGTTAATGATTAAAACAAAATTTGAAAATACATATGAGTTTCATTTTGAGGTCTCACAGCTAAGAGATTCCTTGGAATTCAAATGCAAGTGTCTGTGGCTCCACAAATTTTCTTATAGAAATGTTCTCCAGTTGGGTTAACTTCCTGCCCATACATTCATGTAACGTCTTTCACAACTTTTTCTCTGTTTTTCACAAACTTTTTCCCTACTGGAAATAATCTTTTACATCTGAACTCTGATAACATTATAAAACATGAAATAATTATACAATTTGGGGAAAAGAAACCACTTAATTCTGACTGGCTTTTTCTTTTCTTTTCTTTCTTTCTTTCTTTCTTTCTTTCTTTCTTTCTTTCTTTCTTTCTTTCTTTCTTTCTTTCTTTCTTTCCTTTCTTTCTTTCTCTCTTTCTTTCTTTTTCTACATCAAATGTGGACTTCCTGAGACAAGAGATGGTTACAGATTCATGTTGAAGGTACCTGCAGTGCTGAGCAAGTTAATCCATGGACTATATTTGACATGGGAGTATTTCACAAGGTCGATGGAAGAGGCACTGTGGACCGCGGTGCCTGCCCAGATTCCTTTCATAGACAGCAGTGTCCAGCCCGTTATTGCTGTGTTAGCAGCTGCAATTCACATTTAATGTCCTTCTCTAGGCAACTGTGTTCCACTGATTAGAGCAGACTTGTTTGGAAAGTTACAACTCAAAGGCCAATGGGTCACTTATGGGGTGAATAAAAACAGACACTCTTGTCCTACATGGAATTTATGTTCCCTCAAGCCAGAACTGGATTTTATATGAGATACAATACTGGTTGGTTCTTTCTTCTTTTTCTCTCCAAGTTTCACAGATTTTTCCTGAGTAGCACTCCATTCATAAATAAACTTTGCAAAAACTTTCACTTCAGTCTTCCTCTAGAGTACACTAGTACAGCAAATTCTACAAACTGCTTCCAAAATGGTTATTTGAAAAGAAAACATGGTATATATACTAGTGTTATACTATGATTACTCAAAATGTTGAACCCAAATTGCTTTTTTTAAAAACGCACCTTGTAACTTTTCTGCAAGGATAAAATTAGTTAAAAACTGAAAGTTAAAAAATAAATACAAGGTGCTTATAAAACGAAAATTGCATTTGATCAGATTACGCTGCTTACCTCCTTTATATACTCCTAGGGAATTCTTTCAAGATAGGCCAGAACCCACTCAGTATCAGCACCCTGGTCACGCTGCCACCCTCATTTCTAGCACTCTCTTGAATTGCTTGTATGCTCTAAGGCACAGTAAGGTTCTTGCTGTTTTTGACAAGTTAGATACAATCTTAACTGAGAATATCTTATCTGTATATAAATCTCTTCCCTTACATAGTGACATAGCTGACTAATTTTCTTTATTCAGGTCACACTTTAAGTATTATCTTTCTTGAGATTACTTCTTTGAGAATCATAATTGTAAGTCACTTCTAATAATTCTTTATCTCTAATAATGATTGTATTTTTATGCAGCACTAATAACTGCATAACATTATTTAAATGTATAACTTATGTTCTAGAAGGTAAATTTCAGGAATGTTGAAACTTGCTTGGCAAGAACTTGATTCTTTAGTTCTGCATCTGGCGCTGTTTATCGCATAAGATTTTATTTGTTCCACCCATGAATATAGAAACGCGTCACAAATGGAATAATTCCCAGAAGTTTCTTCCTCCATGAAATTAAAAATAAATTTAATTAGTAAAACATAAGGTCTCATTAAATGATAATGAGAATAAGTTTAAATTTAAAAAAAAAGTATTTTAAAGCGCAATATTAAATGAAGTACCCTGAGTATTTAGACAATGATTCCATTCTTTGATAGAGGGTATAAAATATGGGATGGATGGTTCAAGATTCCTGAGGCTCCTTTAATCTGAAAATGTTTTATTATTCACAAAATGCTAAAGTTAGACCAGGCAAGATGAGACAGATTCAGCTAGATTGAGAAACATAGGAAGGGCATTCTAGGTGGAGGGGCTCTGAGGGAAATGACATAGGGGATAAATGTGGAGGAGAAAATCCTGAGTGTTCAAGTAGTGATCAGAGTTTCTGGTGCAACAGCTTATGTAGCATGCCTGGAGTGAAACTGTAGCCAGAATGGAAAGATCTTAGGAAAAAAAAACAAAAACAAAACAAAAAACAAAAACAAAAACAAACAAAAAAAAACAGCAAGGACACTCTAAACCTATCTTTGACAGAAATTATTTATATTTTCTTTCATTCTCTCGTGATATTACCACCTATCGACTAATGTTAATATGTAACTTTATAAATATCCTAACACATTTCTATAAACTGTCTAAATTTTTATGCACATGAAAACCTACTAATAAGTGTTGAGTTTTTACTCCTATATAACACTCCTATAATGTAAACGGTGGATGATTTGATTTTCAAATTGGGAAAATGTAACATCAAATGTTAATGAGTTCAATAAAATCATACCATAAATTATTTTACCCACTTGAAAAAGTGATTAAATTGCCAAGGGAGGTAGAAAAAATTGTTATGCACTTAGCATCCTGCTCCATATTGTAGCATGTAGTCAGGAACACACCATACCTGTAGGTCTTTGTAAATTCTTTTGTACTAAAATCCTTCTCAGAGTGCCATCCATGGCAGCTTCCTCTATGTGGGAGTGGTCCCCAATGACAGTCCAGTACATCATCCTGGAGAGAGGCAGTCAGGGGCGTTAGCTGAGAAATGGTGTGGTTAGAGCAATCTCTGCTTTGAAAAGCAGGATCTTATCACACCACATGAAAAACACTCTTCCCAGAGTCCCTAATACAGAAAATACTGGACCAAACTTAAAAATAGAAATGTTCTAAACTAAGACCTTGTACATCAACATTTTAAAAATGTTTAACCTAAATTCATCAATTTTGGGAAACATCATTTCATAGGCTGCATCACAGATCTTTATTTGAAATACAAATTTCAATTTTGAAAATCGCATTAAAATCTCAGAAAAAAAGTTCTCACTACTTGAGATGTTCTCGTTGGTTTAATATATTATACTTTTTTATTAAGGATACTATACCATATGCTTTTCAGAGAGATAATTAAATACTAAACAAAAATCATTTTCTCATTTAAAAGATACCATATTGCATAATTCTAGTAATCAAAGTTTCCTCTCTTGACTCCAGAGCTAATACCTTTGTGAATGACTAAGAAAATTATTTAATATTTTACTTTTGTTTTGGCCATTGCTTGTAGCTTTACCACGTTAAACAATTTAAAGGAAGTGTTTGTATTACCTTTTTAAATTTGTTTAGATATATATGTATTTGTATTTTACTATAACAAAAACATTAATGCACTGCATTTAATATGCTTAATATGAAGAAAATACAATTATAGAAAAACAGTATTTAGGTGTTTATTACGTCTCTTTCTTTTACAATTTATAAAAATAAATATATATAGAGACATACACAAAGACGTATATACACTGTGTAATTCAACAGTCTTTTATAAAGGTGCATGGAATATTTTTGTATAGAAGGCAAAATACAGGAATATTTAGAAGATGTGTAACTTTATTAAATGTTGAACATTCGTCACAGAAACAAAACAACAAAGCACAATCTCTAAAAATAGGCTCAGTTGAAAGAATAAAAATACCAAGCCATTGACCTACCCTCTTTTAGGATGCACAGCAATGGCATAGGGCTCTCCAGCCATGTTGGTGAGAAGACGGGTACAATTAGAGCCATTCAGCTGCCCCACATTGACTGAGTACCTCAGATTTGCCCAGGGTGTCGTGTAGTAACTGAACCAATGCATTCTGGAATGATCAGTCCAATAAATATTCCCAGCAACCCAGTCTACTGCGATATCCCTGGGTCTTTTAAATTCAGGACACTAAAAAAAGAACAGCACACAACATTTTCAAAGAAAAATTAATGTAGTAGTCTGTATCTATGAGATTGTGGGGGAATACTGTAAAATTTGCCAAATATTATTACAATTATTTCAAAAATATTAAGCTTATTCTTATTTCACATATATATGCATGTATATATACTGTCATTCTTAATTATGCAAATCATTAGAATCTTCTCTACAGTTTCACCTCTCATTATCACCATTATAATAAAACATTTCCAAAGTCACACGACAGATCCTAGCAGTATTTTCCTTAGAATAATCATACTTCTGATACCTAATGGCAGAGATTATTTTATCTTTTCTTTTTTTTTTTTTTAATGGGTACCAGGGATCGAACTCACGACTGCCTGCTTGTAAGGCAGGCGCTTATGCCGCTGAGCTAAATCCCCAGCCCCCCAGAGATTATTTTAAATGTACTCATATAGAGGCTTAATTTTCTATTACATTTTGTGCTCAATGTCATGTCTTTGAAATCTACATTCATTGTTGAGTGTTTCCAGTACCTATGCATTTTACTGCTGAGTGGGATATCAGTGCATAAACATACAACAGATTTGTTTACTATTATATCAATTTGCAATGTTTACAGTTTTAGTCCATTAAACTAATGAATATCTTTCATGTCTTTCAGTGGGCACAAATGTTCATTTCTTTTGAAGATTTACCCACAAATAGGACTATTCCAACTTAACCTGTCTAGCTTTAACAGATATTACCAGAAAAAAATTAGAATTTGTAACTATATGAATTATTTGTACTAATGTAGAAACATACAGATTGGTCTTCATCCTCATCACACACAATTTGAATTATGAATTTAAAAAATACTACAGAGAGAACTACCATTTAAAGTCTTCAAGTTGCAATGTCTGTCCAATAGCATGAGTTTTCTAGATAATATAATAATATAATATAATATAATATTTTACTGAGTCATTGTGAGATAAAGGTAAAATAATTCATTAAAATCAGACAGCAGAGAAAATCATATATTTTCTATGCCCATCAATTAATTTGATCACTTTGATCAGGAACAACTGGTAATAATTAATTTGATATTGTCAAGTTTATTGTGCACAGTCAAAAATGAGGAATTTTCAGAGACACAATATCAAGTATAGAAACAATTACTTGAAGCTGATTACAATTAGGCATATAGTCAGTATGCAAGAACGCCTGAGAAAGAGAAGAATTGTGGCATTTTCAAATACTTAACTTCTTTTTAGAGTTAAAGAGAATGTATTAAGTAATCTGTTCGGATTAAATGCAGAGAAAGTGAACATCTTAAAAAGAGCATGAAGTGTCAAAATAACAGATTTGAAAAATATAGGTGTCTGATTACTGTGAGCTCCAAAAAAGGAAATACAGCTCAAGGCAAACACAGAATTCACAGATAATTTCTAATGATCTTTATTGCAACTGCTTTAGAACTAAAGCTATAAAATTTTATGTTACTTTGTCAACTCTGACAATAAATATTATTCATGTATCTGGTAAATAGATATTTCAATTATCTGAATTAAATGTAGGGCATTCTATAAGAGAGAGTGCTATAGAAATACCATGAAAATCATATTAATAGATAGTAACAATATAAAGATTTTTCACAGCTAAATCAAAAATAATTTTAAATGTATCATTTAAATTGAGTATCTCCTTTCAGTTTGGCATCATAAAAAGATAAATATACCACCAATTTCTATATAAATCAGAACTTTTTAAACATGAAAAATAATGTGTAAAATCACTATTACAAGATGTTTGGTCTGTTGTAGCATATTTATTATTTTCTAATACCACTAGAACAAACCTGTTAAAAATTATGATGCATTTAGTATTCAAATATCAGTTATTTAGCATGAGCATAGAAAAGCAAATGTTTCCCCTTTATCAGATGAAAGTATATCTGCCTGATTTTTTTATCCTAATGATACTTGCCTAAATATGACATAGTTCAGACAAAGTCCTAAATTTATGGAAGTCACAACCTTCATCTCACTTCATGCTAACAAATGAGTTGATTATCTTTGCAGTCTATGCATCTAAATCTGGATCACTGACAATTAAGAATGTATATTCCTCACACTTCTAAGACAGTCAGAAGTTTGATTTAGTGAAACATTTTATTTTAGTGAATGAGCTGGTTAAGAGTCTCCTATTGGCAAATCCTGCATGGGAACAAATTAAATTTATATCCCATTTCAGGTCTAAAGAACACATGTTAAGGGAAAGGAAAAACCTTTTTTCATGCTAAACAGAAGAGATGCTAATGACTTGTAATTGCATTTAAATCTACGTGTTTATTATCTGGTTACTTGATCAAGGATAAAGGAAATAATTACTGTCTCTCTGATAACAGCGAAAGTAGTTAGAATGCGAGATAAAAAATACAGGATAAAGGACAGTCACATCCTTTCATCAGGAGAGCATCACTGAGGAGATGACTGTCAAGGAAAATGATGATACTCAGTGATCCACCACACAATGAATGTCCACCGATCCTCAAAACTAAAGAAAGCATTACAGAACAACAACAATAACAAAGAACAAAAGAAAAAAAAAAAAAAAAAAAAAAAAGATAATGAAGAAGAAGCTGTGAGTAGAAAATGTTGACTACCAGCACAAAAAAATTAGAAAGAGTGAGATCCTAATCACAATGGACCTGCTGCCTGATTAATAACCACCCTTTGTAACGAAATAAAAGAAATGAAGTAATTCCTCTTGCTTGCTTACTACTTGACCAGGATCATTATTAGAACGATCGCTAAAAGCTGGAAAGTGAAAGGCAGACATTCCCATTGTGTATTCATATTCCAAACATAAATTATAGTGCAGCATTAAATCAATCAAATAAATAAAAATGGGAAAATACAAAAAAATTGAGGCTCATGCAGTGGTTATGGAGAATAACATAGCAATGTATACCAGAAAATTTTAATTTATTGATCTCAAGGAGACTCACAAGAAAACATACACACCAGATTGTAAAGACACTAGGAATATAAACCTTATTTGGTCCCTTGGCTAGCTCACAAGACAGATAACCCAATGAACTAGACCCAAAAATAACATATGCTATGTTGAGAGACAGGAGAATCATGTTTACCCTGAAACAAACAGTATTGTTCATGATGTCACAGAAAGAAAAAGGCACATTTAATTGCTTTCTTTAAAGAGACAGTTACTTTCTTACTAAGCTTTCTAAATACATAGGAATATTTTAGGACCTAAACAGTTTTTCTTTGTGAAGATATATTAGTCAAACAAATGAACGCTTACAGCTTACAGAAAAATTTTCAGCTCAATTATAGCAAAACTGGGATCCAATACTTCAAATTATGAATTTTGCAAGATACCACTTTTGTAAAAGTTGTCATTTGTAAAATGTCTGTCACAATGCCAGATTCACTAAAAACAAAAGTAACTTAAGACATTTGTTTTAAAACAGAAAAGAGAATTATAAAAATGAGGAGAATCTGTCTTCTTGATAACAAAAGTAATATAGTGAGTAATATATTTTAAGAAAATATGGTTAACACAGGGTAAGTTGAAGTAATAGCATATATTTTATTTTTCTAATTTTTCATATAGCTGTGTATCTAAGAATTTTAAAATTTGTCTCTATTTTATCAAAGATTACAGTTTCTTTATACAATTCTGTGATAAGATGTAAACTCACTATCAAGAAAGTGCTTGTGTATTGTATTATTTTGGATCACATAAGGTTAAATTCTTACAAATCAGGCTATGGAAATTAAAATCTGGCTATAAAATTTCTAAACATTGGTAAACTGTACTCAATAATGTTATAAAATATTCAGATATATAAATTTCAATTAAGTTGTTCATATTTAAATTTCAAAATCCAATGAAATTCATATTTAAACATCAGAATGTATAAAAGGTGAAATTTGACTCTTTGTGAGGTTTATTTTGATGCACATATTATTTGCCTGAGTGATTTTCAAGACTATATTGGTATCATTTAGGACTATGTCAACCTAGAACAAACTCCAGCTCAGGAAAAAAGAATAAATAAAAATAATATGGGTAAAAAGACCAAATTTATCATTGAATTATGGACTTAGTATTTTATTGTCTTGTTGCATGTTTGCTTTACTCTCTTTTTGTTTTCATTTTTAGCATTCTCTTATTTTTAACTCATTTCAAACTTATTTCTTCTGGTTTACCCCAGTTCTCCACAAAAGTAAGACTCGGTCTCATTCACACACTGAAATAGAGAAATGATAATATGAGGAACTGGAAAGCAAACTATTTTGACTTAAGAATTTGGTTTAAGATCTATTTGGATTTCATTTACAAAATGTATCCCATGCAAAATAAAGACTTTGGATGAATCTAATATCGATTTAGGTTTAAGCAGAACATTAGGAGACACTATTATCTATTCCTGGTAAGTATGAAATTTGTATAGACTTAAGTTTAAAGCTCATGTTAATTGTGAAATTTTAGGTTTTAGAAAGTTAAAGAATATTTGGTTCCATTTGAACAATTTTGATATCACCTTTTTAGGTGATTAAGCTGAAAGTGAAAAAGAAAATGAATTTTTAAAAATTAAATTTCAAACAGGTATGATACTTGAGAGAGAATTAAGAGTAACCTGATAGCAGACATCACAAAATAATATCTAGAGGAATAAAGTTATAAAAAATTACACAGATTTTAACCTTTTAAGTTAACATTTTAAAAATCCAAAATTTTAGTTTTTATTGAAAATTAGACAGTGAGAGAGATATCAGGCAACCAGAAGATAAGATGCAGTCACAGAGGGTTTGGGGCTGAGTACGTAGCTTAGCACTTGCTTAGGATGCAGGAGGTCTGGTGTCAGTCAGCACCATCTCAAATTAAAACATGGATTTTAACACAGAAGTACCGAAGCTGTGGAATGAGCAAAGCATCTTTTCGTTAAGAATGTATTATTATTATATGAATATTTTTTGAACTGTGTGCAT